GGTGGTCTTTATAAAAGAATCAGGATCATTTCTCTCTTGTCTTTCAAAGTAACCTTACTGTCTCCTGTCACCTCTTCCCTGACCAACCCTTATCCCCAGGCTGGATCAGGTGTCACTCATTATACCCTTCGGTATACCTTTGGCATCAAACTCGCCACACTGGACTAAATTGTTTTTTCAGCTGGACTGTGAACTCTGAGAAGGTAAGGCCACTGTCTGTCTTATGCAGCACTGTGTTCCCAGCATAGGTCTGGCAGGCTCAGCATAAATCCATGAATGAATGAATGTCTCCCTCACTTGACTGTGAGCTCCTTGAGAGCAGGACTGGCTACACAGTTCCTGAGTTTTTTGTTTTGTTTTTTTAATTAAGTGGAATTGAAATACATGGCAGGGATACCTAACCAAGCCTGGGAAACCAGAGTGACTTCCTAGAGGAGCTAATGCCTGTAAGAGATCAAAAGGATGAGAAGTTATCTATTAGAAGAAGGAATGTGGAAGTGGGAATGCACTTCAGGCTGAGGGGGAGCCTGGCGTGTTCCCGACACTGCTAGTCATTTGTTTGGAACTTCGGGTGCATGAGGGACAGTGGCTGCAGAGAGGGCAGGTCATCCACGCATCGTTGGTTGATTCTGTAACTATTCATTGATACTTAGAGTGTGCCTGGTCCTGTGCTGACCTGTGCTTTTGAGGAGTTTGTGAATTAGCTAGAAGGCACTTTTAGTGTAGTAGAGAACTTCTGAGGGTTTTAGGAAGAGATGTTTGGGTGACATGATCAGATAATTATTCTAGAACAGTGCTTCTCAAATTATCTGTGATGAAGGACCTTAAAAAAATATTTCCAATCCATCAGAGACTGATAGTAAGGTTATAAGAAAAGACCAAATACAAGTCTGTGTTTGTTTTAAAGATTTTATTTACTTATTTGAGAGAGAGGGAGCACAAGTGGGGGGTGTGTAGGGGGAGAGGGAGAGGGAGAAGCAGACTCCCCACTGAGCACAGACCCCCCCCGACACAGGGTTCAATCCCAGGACCCCGAGATCACAACCTGAACCACCCAGGCGCCCCCCCCCCGTTTCTTCATATTTGACTCAGTAGTATGTGATTTCGGTGAAATTATCGTACTCTCTCTCCTGCTTTTCCAATTGCCTACTCTCACTTTCCATGCTTACGTAGACCACTGGTACCAGTTTGCAAACAGCACTGGTCTGCAGGCTGTCCTTTAGGTAGCACTGGTCAGAGAGATCACATCTTGGCTGCGGATGGAGAATTGCTTGGAGGAGGATCAAATGGAGGCAGAGAGGCAGGTGGGGAGGCTGTTTCTCTGACGCAGGCAGTGGTGGTGGTGGTCTGGATTGCGATGTGGCAGGTGGAGATAAGAGATCCTGGGGGTAAAAGCCACAGCTTTGTGGAAGGGGAGGGGTCAGAGGTAAAGGTAGGAGTTAAAGATGCTTTCCAGTCTTCTGGCTTGGGCACCTGTGTTGGCCAATGGTGACACTGACTGAGAACCGAACTGGAAGAGCTAGAAGTTTGAGGGAGGGAGACGAGCTCAGTACTGATCACTCGCATATATTTCTGTTGAGGTATAATCAACATATAATATTCTGTTAGTTTAGTTTCAGGTGTACAACATGATTCATATTTGTTGTATATTGCAAATGATCACCACTATTTGTCACCTGAACATATTAAGTTGGAGGTATATGTATATGTGGGACCTCCAGTAGGAGAAGTCTAAGAGGCAGCTGGAAATAGGGTCTTGAGAGCAGGTTTAGAGTCAATGTGGTTGGCCTTTGATAGAGAAAAGGGACTTCCCCAGTCCAGCCTAACACTGACTCCTTCCTGGGGTCTCTGACTGACAGGCCCAGCTGGTGGTGGTGCGTTTTGTCCATGAGGGAGGTCTGGGGTTTGGGGCGTGGCAGAGGGGAGGCAGGGACGTGTGTAGGGGTGCACGTACTGGGAGTAGGATTCAGTCCCCTTTACTCTGTAGAGAGACGGGACCTTGGCCCGCTCTGGGGAGCTGCAAGTCTCATTGTCACCACTGGGTGGCAGGAGTGCTTCAGACAAGGGTTCCATGGACTCGGGCCTCTCTCCAGTATTTAGCCATCTGCTCTACTCCAGAGTTAACCTCTGGACTCCACAGAAGCACTTACATGTGAGCCCCTCATCTTAACCCTGGGGACCCAGGGGCATGCATCTTGTTACTGCGGCTCTGGAGCTGAAGGCATGGTCAGGTCGCTCCTGGACCGGATCCAGAGGCAGGCTGCGGTCCCAGAGCCTGCTGGGGTCCTCTGGGCGCGCAGTGTGTTTCCTCACGTGGAAGCATCATTTCCGGGCTGCCCTGTGCGGGGCCCCAGGCGGAGGGTTTGCTTTGGTCCAGCGTCGGGATGGGCGGTCCACGGGGGGGGGGGGGGGGCTGTGATCATGGGGGCCGGAGCCCGCCGGCCGTGCCTTGATGCGCTGCGCCCGCGCTCTGCCCCCCCCCGCGCCAGCAGACTGTGCAGGTCCCCGTGTACTCGGAGCAGGAGTACCAGCTGTACCTGCACGACGACGCCTGGACCAAGGCAGAGACGGACCATCTCTTTGACCTCAGCCGCCGCTTTGACTTACGGTTTGTAGTTATCCATGACCGCTACGACCACCAGCAGTTCAAGGTGAGCCGGTGTCCTGCATTGGCATGCGTGCCCCCTGCCTTCACGCGACCCGTGCCTCTGGGCACTCACCCTCCGCTCCCGCCGTGTCTTTATCCTCAGAAGCGTTCCGTGGAGGACTTGAAGGAGCGGTACTACCACATCTGTGCCAAGCTTGCCAACGTGCGCGCTGTGCCAGGCACGGACCTCAAGATACCGGTGTTTGATGCTGGGCACGAGCGACGACGGAAGGAGCAGCTGGAGCGTCTCTACAACCGGACCCCGGAGCAGGTCAGCGCTGCAGCCCTTGGCTTCCATCCGGCCTGCTCTCAGTTCCCCCGCCGCTGGGTTCCCCTGCCTCCACACCTCCTCTTTCCTCACGAGCCACTCTCCCTGCTCCACACCCCTTCCCCTCCCTCGTGGTCCCTCGCAGCCCTGCGGTCCCGCACCCCCTCCCCCGCTCTGCACTGCCCCCTGCCGTGCGCGCACGGCATCTCGGCATCTCGCTCTCCCAGGTCGCGGAGGAGGAGTATCTGCTGCAGGAGCTGCGCAAGATTGAGGCCCGGAAGAAGGAGAGGGAGAAGCGCAGCCAGGACCTGCAGAAGCTGATAACAGCGGCGGACACCACCGCAGAGCAGCGGCGCACAGAGCGCAAAGCCCCCAAGAAGAAGCTACCCCAGAAAAAGGAGGCGGAGAAGCCGGTGCGGAGACCGAGTCAGCCCAGCCCAGGGTGCAGGGCTCTGAGAGCACCCAGAGCTGGCGGGGTGCTGGGACTAACCCTGGGCCCTCCCGCTGCCTCTCCCCCAGGCTGTTCCTGAGACTGCAGGCATCAAGTTCCCGGACTTCAAGTCTGCCGGCGTCACCCTGCGGAGCCAGCGGGTACGTGTCACCTCCATCGCTGTGCTGGGGCCCCGGGCTCCCTGCAGCCTTCGTGCGGCAGCCGGGGCACCCAGAGCACTGGGAGGGGGTGCCACGTGCTGCAGAGAGGGAGGTCTCGGGGATGTGGCTGGGCTGGAGTCCAAGCTCTTGCTCTGTTCCACTTGCTGGTTGTTTTTCGGACATAGAGCTACCTCCAGGGGGTTCACTTCTCTCCCACTCCCCCTTGCCTTTGGTCCCCCTCATCCTTAACCACTTGTCGGGGAGAGGGCTTAGCAGCCTGGGTCATTGCAGATGAAGCTGCCAAGCTCTGTGGGACAGAAGAAGATCAAGGCCCTGGAGCAGATGCTGCTGGAGCTTGGTGTGGGTGAGTGGGGACTGGGCCCGCAGGAGCTACCCACCCGCGGCTGCCCATCAAGGCTGGGCGGGGGGGGGGGCACTTCCTGTCGCTGGCCTTCCCGCACACCCTGGTTCCGCCCGTGCCCTCCACCCACCGCCTGCAGAGCTGAGCCCGACGCCCACGGAGGAGCTGGTGCACATGTTCAACGAGCTGCGGAGTGACCTGGTGCTGCTCTACGAGCTCAAGCAGGCCTGTGCCAACTGCGAGTACGAGCTCCAGATGCTGCGGCACCGACACGAGGCCCTGGCCAGGGCCGGCGTGCTCGGGGGCCCCGCCACGCCAGCATCCGGCCCGGCCCCAGCCTCTGCTGAGCCAGCAGTACCCGAACCCGGTCTCGGTCCCGACCCCACCAAGGACACCATCATTGATGTGGTGGGCGCGCCCCTCACGCCCAATTCGGTAAGAGCCTGGAACCGGCCCCGCTCCCTCTCATGCCGGCAGTGGGAGTGGTTACTCTGCTGGGTTCTGGGACTGGGGGTAGGACTGGGTGGCCAGTGGGCATCACCTGCCCTGAGTGTGAAACACATGCACCAAGCCCGAGTAGAGCTTTGGGGGCCACTGACTCCAGCGCCTTCTGTGTCTTCTCAGAGGAAGCGACGGGAATCAGCCTCCAGTTCCTCTTCTGTGAAGAAAGCCAAGAAGCCATGAGAGGGCACACGGGGTGTGGGTGCTGCTGTGTAAATAGAGCTGCTGAGTTGGACTGGGCTGCTTCCTTTTCCTTCCCACCACTTGTGAAGCCCCTGGCTGGTTGCAGGGGGGGGATGTGGGAGCAGTCACCACCCCCACTCCACAGGGGTGGCGTTGGGACCTGCCTGCGGGGAGGCCCTTAGCAGCCCTCTCACCACTGCCAGTTTTACCCAAACATCTGTACTTGGTTCTGCACTTGAGGTGGTTCACACATTGCAGTGGCCTCAGATACCAGCCACTGGAACACTGCCTCATGCTTACAGTCCCCGCGGCCCTGTGCTTATTCACGGAGGGTCTCCCAGGTGCTCCAGTGACGGCCAGCCGCATCGGTGGCCTTCAGCCCAGAGCAGCCCGGAACGCGCTCTAACCTTGTACACCTTGGACGGCATCAGGCACAGCAGCGCCTGGTCCACACACACCCAGAGTCTCGTTTCCCCGACTTTATTCAGTGGCACGTTCACAGCGGGGATGGGGGTAGACACAAGGTGGGGCCTGATCTGTCCTGGAGCCCTGGGGGCACCACACACCATGCACTACAGATGGGAGGGGGCACAGGGGGGCTCGGTGGCCCCAGCAGAAGCCTGTGTACCAGGGAAGAGGCGGTGAGTGCCTGGGTCCCCCTAGCCCAGGCCCACAATGGGAGGGGCTAATACTGGGCTGAGGTTGAGGGGTTGGGGTGGGGGGCACAAAGTGTCTGCTCCAGAGGGGCCGAGTGGCCAAGGCCTTACCCAGGGCACAAGCCCACAGGGCAGGCTGGGGGACACTCTGGATGTAGAGCTGTGCCACTCTCCCTTTTCCCCTCTGGTGAGGGAAAGGAGGGTTCTGGGCTGGGCCAAGCAGCTACCCTGTCCTGCCCCATCCCGTCCTCGGCCGATCAGAATGGCTTTGATGTCTGCTTGAAAATGAAGCCTTGATATGCAAGTGTCTTCATGATGTTGGCAATGTTCTTGCAGTCATCTGAGAAGAGAAAGAGAAGACGTTTAGATGGGTCCCAGATCCTTCCCCTCTGTGCCCACAGGTGCTCTTACATGGGTGGGGGAGGGGAGCAGGGTCAGATTCAGGAGCCACAGGCTCTAAACCAGGGGGTCTGGTGCCCTGGTGGTAGCATCTCCAGCCTCAGGTTGGGCTGGATGAGGCCGGGCCGGCAGGAAGCATGGTCTCAATGCTGCTCAGTCCCATAATTCATGCTGGAAATTGGCCGGCATGTCCCACCCCGGCCCCAGCGGTGATGTATGGGCGCCGTCGCAGTAAGAAAAAGGCAGAGTAAATGTGTAATTTCTCCCTTGACGGCCCCCGGCCGCTGGGCGATCCTTCTTGTTGCCGCCGCGTGGGGACGGCTCGTCCGCCACACTCCGTCTTCCCGCCACCCGCCTTGATGTCTCCATTTCATTACTGTGCGGCCATTCATCACGCCCACGGCCAGGGTGACTTTGCCGGCACTTGAGTGTGTGTGTGTGTGTGTGTGTGTGTGTGAGGTATGGCCCAGGCCATAATAGCTGGTGACGAGGCACAAGCCTTGGCACTTTGGGGCCGGGGGCCTGGTCAGCCTGCTCTGGGAACCTGCTCCCCCATGTCGCCCCAGAGCAGCGGAGAGAGTCCAGGTTTGTGGACCTTTGACACCTGGGCCAGCAATCTTCTACTAGACATGCCTGTGTGCTCAGTCTAAGCCCTGCCTCTCCCCCCAACTAGGCCCAAAACTGGTGCCAGTCAGGCTTCAGTCCTGCCTCTGGCTGTACCTAAGTAGGTCTGCTCCTACCAGACCGTGTCAGCAGTTTCTCCAGTACTGGTCCCTGTGAGAAACTCCTGGAACCCTGGCAGCTGCAGGAGCAGGTACTCCGCACCTTCACTATCATGGACATATGCCAGGGCTAGTTCTAACACCACCAGCAGGAGGTGCAGCTGCCCAACACTCGTCCCTCTACAGAAAGCCAAGGACAGAAATGGCCCAAGTGCCCAGAGTTTTTTTGTTCCACTGCCCAGAACACCAGCCAGCTCCCCATCCCTTCACCTGCCCCTCCTCCCACCCCTCTCCCACCTTCCATAGATGGTCCTGGGCCATAACCAGGACCTCAGCCGCTACCAGCCCTCATGGGATCGATGCTGTGATTGCAGAAGCATTATACTTCGATGTCCTAATCCGGTGTGGGGTGGTGGCAACGTCAAGGTGGGGTCAGGAGGCCTCTGCATCTGTCAAGGGCCAACCCCTTCCATTGAGCCCTCCAGCCTGCCCTTGCTAGAACCTCAGACTAGGAAACGGGGCCCAACAGAGCTAGAGAAGGGCTGTGGAAGCGGGAGGCTTGGCCAGCCCAGGTCCCGTGTCATTAGCCAGATGCAACTCTGTGAGGGCAGACAGGTCACACGGGGTCCTGTTTCGCAGACCTCAACATGAACGTACCCAAGGGGAATGTGGGCATGGAAAAGTGATACCCAGACACGGGGACACCCTTTTCCTCCAGGGACTCAGGAAGCCACGAGGGCTGGTCTGAGGCAGGACAGTGGGAAGACAGATGGGTGGGTAGTCGCGGCCATGGCAACTCCAGACGTGACCCGTCCCCGTGGTTTATGGGCCGGACACGCGCCCCGCTCAGCTGAGGCCCCATCATTTGTCTCCCTTAGTGTGTATGCCTGTGCTGTGGGGGTAGAGGGTGGAGGGAGGGGGATGAGACAGGAGTGAGGCAGCTGACAGGAAGGGGAAGGGGGGCAGGAAGATCTGTGTAGGAGGGGCAGGCTGGAGATGGGGCAGGAGGGTTTATGATAGGGCCCAGAGGCTGTGATGGGACCATCAAAAAGGCTACGATAGGGTGATTTTCTTCCCAAAGAAGTCTGGCCTTGTCAGGGCACCTCCAGTCCTTCCCGTCTCCTGCACTCTGGGGACCATGGCCGCTGTGCATATTAAGAGTAAGTCCCCTCGTTATCTGCAATTACCCAGCGGCCACACACCTCATTTCTTCCAGCAGAAAAGAAAATTAGTTTTCTATTGACTTCATCTGGCTCCTCCCTCATTGCTGGACAAATCGCTCAATCTGCCTCCCCTGGCCCAAGTGAATGTGCCCAGCCCCTCCCCCCCAGGTCACCACCCATCCCATGGGCCAGCACTGACCTCCCACCTGTGCCCGGCCCCAGTCTGTCCTTGACCTCTCTGCACTTGACACACTGGCTGGCTTCATCCACACCCTGAGCTTCAGCGAGCCCTGAAGATCGCCGTCTCCTGCCTGCACCTCTCCTGAGCTCTGGAACATCTCTTTCTGGATCCATACAAACTCAAAACATCCAGTAATGCACCAATTTCCTTCCCCACATGTCTTCACTACCCAGTGTTCTCCATCCCAGTGAACAGCACTCCAAGTGCTCCCAAAGAAGCCTGAGAATCGGGCTTGACACTGCCCTCTCCTTCCCAAATCTCAAGTATCAACTGGATTTTATCTTATTCTGTTTAATCATCTCCTTCCCTTCATTCCGCCCCCCCACTCCAGTGCAGACCCATCATCTCTTGCTCTTACACAGCCTATCCTCTTTCTTCTCCCTCTAATCCATTCTCTTGTAGCCCAAGTGATCACATCCTTGTCTCTCTAAGTCCTTTCAATGGCTCCCGCTGGCCTCAGGTTCAAGGCTCTACTCTTTAATATGACTTAAAGGTAAAGGTCCTGTAAAAACGGGTCCCTGCTCTCTCTGGTCTCACCTCTGCCACTCTCTACCCCCAATCCCTGTGTTCCAATCTCCAGGAACCTCTGTTTTCTGAAAATGACAACGATAGACGCGTTTCTAGTCTTAACTTTGCCCCCTGGCTGTGTGCTTGTGGCAAGTGCTCACGTTTCTTTGAACTTCAGGTTCCTCCACTAGGGGTGATAAGGGACGCTACATGTGTTAACTGTGAGCACTGAGCAGGTGATACCCTTCCACACCCCGTCTTTGTCGGTGCTTTAGGTTTGGAATACTTCCTCTTCTTGGAGGGAAGGCAAGGACGCTAGTTTCCCGGGTGACCCAACGGTAAGAGGGTATATCCTGCACAGTCTCTGGCACAGATGACAGAGAGGCCCGTACACGCGATGAGACCAGCCGGCATTCATTGCACAAGCTCACACTGACTACTGATCCTGTTTACCGAGGATTCTGGAGCCTACCTTGTTGTAACTGGTCCACTACAACAAAGAAAGAGAGACCCAGAATTGGGAAGACACTTGTTTCAGTTCACCAAGTCCGTGGTATGGCAGTTATGGGCTTCCAGCCCAGGCTCTTTTTCTAGCCCTTGAAACCTCATGAGTCAGTGCAACCTACTGATCAGTTTAAAAAGTCAATGGCACAGTTAGAAAATGAGGAAATGGGGCAGAGGTGAAGAGGCAAATCTGGGCCTTTTAACAGGCCAGGAGTTCAGAGAGAGCCAGCAGCAGGGTGAGGCTGGTGACAACATGGCCTCTGGGAGAGTCCTCTGCTTGAAGCCCTGGGGCCACATGGGTCAACAGCCTCCCCTTCTGGCACCTCTCACTGAGCTAATGAGGCCAGCCTGAACCCATTATGGTGTAGAGGGTAAAGGGGTGGGAGGCACCCAGCCTTGTGACCACAATGGAGGCCTCCGAGGTAGGTCTTCCTTACCTCTGAATTCTAGAAGACTAACCTGATTTTATGTTCCTGCAGGGTTATCAGCTTGTGACAAGATGACTCTCTTCTGTTTGGGGCATTAATGTTAATACTGGAAATATTTTTATATTGCTAAGACCATAACGGGAGATGTGCAGCTGCTTAAATCCCTCCGAGAGGTGAGTGGGGCTAGCACCTGACTTGGATAAGCTCGTTGGCTGGGCCTAAGGGTAGTCAAATATCTGCTTGGCAAAGCTGCTAGTGGAAGGGTGGCTCAGACCACTTAGGACACCCAGTGAGGGCTGACACAGGACCATGACCTGAGGCCGCTCCAGGTAGCTGCACTTGTCTGGGAACTGAACAGTAGAGGGCAGGAAGCAGGGCCTGGGTGAGGACCACCCTCAGCAGGGAAAGGGCCCAAGGAAACTCTTGGAGGACCATTTATTTGTGCACGCATTCATTCAGCAAACACACACTGACACTTCTGTGTGCTGGGTGCACACGGGCCGTGCCGGGTCACAGGCCTCGCTGCAGACTGTTGCTCCCTGCCCTCAAGGAGCTCAGAGGCAGGCCCGTAAGTGGTGTGGTGTGAGCAGTGCTATGGGGAAAGGTGGCACAGAAAAGGCACCGAGAATCGGGAAAGGGCTCCCCGGAGGACAAAGCCAGGCAGAAGTCTTGAGGGCATAGGGCGGGGTGGGGTGGGGTGGGTGGGGGGAGCTGGCCAGCAAGCTGGGCTTGAAGTGGGGAGGTGATCCCGGCATAGTGAATAGTACAGGCACCTTGCTGGAGGGGAAACGTAGTGTGTCCAAAAACATGTAAGTCTAGCAGGCGGTGGGGGTGATGAAGAGTAAGGGGCAGGGGAGTGGCAAGAGGCGAAGCTGGCCAGGTCAGCAGTGACTGGCCAGAGGAAACCCTGGAGACTGGATGCTAAGCTAAGGAGCTTCAGAGCTTCTTATTCTGGGAATGACAGGGAGACGCTAACATATTTGAGGAGGGACAAGACAGGAGCCTATCTGTGTTTCAAGGATTGGAGGGGTTAACCCTGAAGGCACAGACGCTGACTAGCAGACTGTACTACGGTCCAGGCCAGAAACGGTGGCCCAGAACCAGGCCAGTGGCGGCGGAGACGGAGATGGGGATCTATTGACGGTGTGGAGACGTGGACAGAGGCAAGAGATTTTAAGGAAACAGAATGCGCAAGCCTTAACGGGGGGAGATCAGGGTGTGGGTCTGTAGGGGGCTGAGTCTAGGATCTTAGTCAAACTCATGCAGGTAAGACAAACCTGAGGTGGTGTAGGTTTGGGCCAGGGATGACCTTAGTGTTAATCTTGAGATTCCTATGGGACATTTAAATGTATCAGGCATTTCCTTTACAGCTTCTA